CACGACTCACGACTGACGACTGCACGCGCACGTTAACCCTGGCCCGTTTCCGAATCTTCGCGTCCCGCAGAGCCAAGCCACGTTTCCAACGCGCGCAAGCGCCTCGCCGATAGCCGAGAGTAGCAATTAAGCACAGGCATCCCTCACGTTTCACACGTACGCTGTACTCATGACTCTGCATCTTCGATACAAACTCACTCGCTTTCTGAATTCATCATTAGAAGATGGCTGAGCGCCGGACAGATTTGAGCGGTCAGCTCGAGTCGCCTTGAGCCCGGCTCAAACGCTGGTGCGTGGATTAGTCAGGTCAAGTACTCCAACAAACTTGTCCATCACACCGCACGATGCCAAGTATGTGATGCCCGAGGCAGAGACCGTGGTAAGAGAGGGATCTATTGCGGAGCCTGAGGTGGATGCGGTGGATCTCCCGACGAGGGCCGCGGGATCAGAGGACGTCGCGCCATGGGAGATTGTGAAAAGGTGTGGACTCGCTCCGTATGGTGCAAGCGAGAAAAGTCGACCCGAAGCTCGCGGAGGTTGCTAAGCGCCCTTGTACCCATATCTCATGCCATCCAGCCCCTTCAAATCTCTTTCCGCTCGGTATATGATGCCCTCGACCGCCAAGACGATGCCAATGACAGCAGGCGTAAGAGCCCACCAGGCCGAGCTTTCAAAAGCACCAGCTCCAAAAGTCATGAGAGGCAAAGGCCAACTGGCCAGCCAAATCATAAAGACGTACAGATTTCTAGGATTCATCTTGGTCAAAAAGTTTGGCGGTGTTTCTCCTCCTTGATTCGCAGGCAGGTCTGCTCTGACAGATCGAGGTTGACCAGAGTTGGAAGGATGCCAACGCAGGTCTGTCAGAGACTTGACGAGCCATCCAGGTGCTGTTCCAAAAAGATGTGGCTGCGGGGCTGGAAATGGTACGCCAGGTGGTCGAGGTAGGATTCCCATCCTGTCAGCTACCTCTTTGCCTGTTGCGTACAACAGTGTGCCCATGCTTAGAAGGAAGAGAATGTAGATGGGCGCGACAGGTAGGCGAGTCAATTCGTGATGCTCTGCCGTTTCTTGGCTGTGATGTACGAAGAGTAGGTGAACATGCGTGTCCGGATGGGTGTTGGTCAAGTATGCTGGTAGTGGTGTGATGTACCTGCTGGTGGAGTGGCACACCGCCAACATTGTAAGCCAAAGCGTGACGACGCAGGCACTGAAAGGCAAGCGAAAAGGGCCGACGAGAGGGCACACAGGCATCCCCTTTCTGCCCATGGATACGCACAGGAAAGCAACTCCTCCGATCAGAGCAAGTAGGCCGCCTCTAGCAGTCTTGTGATTCCTATCGTTTTGCTCCTTCAGGGCAGAGATGATGTGCTTTTGTTCTTCAAAGGCGACCAATGGAGCAGAAGATGCGGTCAGCGCCAGCGCACGCAGCACGCAGCACCTAACAACATACACGATATGCTCACCCGCTTCATCGATAGGTGCGCCGTCTGCTCCTGGTGTCTCGTCCAGGACGTCCAGTGGGGAAGTGGCTTTGCTATCGCTGGGCCCCGCAGCTGAACGCTGGGTGAGCGTCGACATGGCGTACGGCACCAAAAGCGAGTACCGATAGAGCGTAGACGAATTACGGTCTCAATTCGTTGCGTGCGCGCTGTACGGCCGTGATGGAGCGGTCCGCTTATCGCTGAACGTGAGCATGAATGGGAGATGGACGCAATTGAAAGAGCACACTTCCAACAACATGGCGCTCGCATGCACCTTGAGGGTACCGGTGTACTGTAGCTACAGGTAACG